AAATCACTGACAGGGCAGAACGTGCCCCTACATCTTTCTCCTCCAGTTTCTCTCTGCTTGTTTGTTTTTGCAACTTGGCTTGTCTTAGGCCATGTTCAGCTGACCCTAGATTTGGACACTGCACATTGGTAAGGCATGCTAAATTTCAGCATAATTCAAGGAGATCTCAAAGTGACAACAGTGGTTTACACCAGGATATTTAAGAGAGGAGTAATACCCAAATCCTGTTTGTCTTCTGGTACACTGTAATAGAGGTACCACCAACACAGAAGCTGAATGCTTTTTGCTACAGAGTGGAAAATATTCACCATGTGGGAGCAAAAAAAGCCAGTACATGCCTGACCTAAAATAACCCCGATGCCAGGCTATTAAATAGTCTCATGGACAAAGTACTCATACAGCTTGATACCCTGGGGTGATGTGCCACCTTCCACCAGAGCAGATCGGAAAATAAGAAGTGAGTTGCTGTTCCATTGTCATTCTGACTAATATTATAAGGTCAATCAGAAGGGCTTTTAACTTTTGACTGGTAAGACAGCTGATTTTTAAATCTATCTCAGTGTAAAAAATGATTCTTAGTAACAGATTTTCAGAGCAGATGGGGCTATTATATTCATCTCATCAGATTCCCTATACAATACAGACAATAGAATTTTACCAAGTAATTCCTGTATCAAGCCCACAGTTTCTGGTTCATTTGAAAAAATGCCTAATGCCACAAAGACTTGAAGTGATGATGAATCTGCCATACATCTAGGTAAATTGCTCCAAAGCCTAATTATTGTAATTATTTAAAATTTGCAATTTATTTCTCATCTGAATTTGTCTAGCTTCCAGATGCTGTTATAACTCTGGTAGAACTAAGAACGCTCTGTCTTTGAAAGCCTTTCCTAATATCTGTGATTTTTCCACTATGAAGGCAGTTTTTGATAGATCAACTAAACTCGAAACTAAACTGAGTAAACAGAAAATAAAACCGTAATAACACAAATACTCACCAATATCATGTTCAGTAGGGTTGAACACAGAATACTGAGGATGCAAGATGTATTTCTCTATTTCAAATGTTTGTGTTATATCAGTCGTTTTATTAAATATATGCTGACCCAGAACTACTCTAATAGTGGATTTTAGTGGACTGTAGTACAAAAGAGAGAATAAGCAATTTGTGATTAGCAGTACAAATGAAGCCTAATTTCTAATGGCTGTGTATCTCATGAACTTTTATATAACCAACCCCCCTCCCCCCCCATCACATCCATTATTTACCCTCTTATAATGCCTTGACCTGTTTCCCAGGCTTCCTACCTACTCGGGGCCAGGGAAAAGAAGACTAACGTTACAGTGAGTCCCAGGCTCTGTGGGTCCTGATTAACCTAATTAAAGGCTGCTGCTCCTTGACAGAAGACAAAGGCAAGCACAGGCACTGCTGCCCCGCTGCTCTCTGGCTAACAAGCATCTTCAGGGGCTGTAAGCACTTCTTGTTCTAGAAACTTAACTGAGTCAACTTCAACCAGACTTTGCCAATGAGTACAAAAATTACTTAGGAAGAAGGGACCAAAAATGAGTCAGTGTGGATATTTCATTTCTCTGGGAAACCAGGCTCTTTTTTACAGGTATGGGTCAAGATTTTAAAGCTGCCAAGCTGACAACTCAGGAATATCTGGGCAGCTTCCACCTAAGAGCTGTCACCATTTCTGCTCTGAGATTAGATTGATCTATGTTAAATCTGTTGTCTAGAATCAAAAGCAACTTGGTGGACGAAGATCCCAACAGCACACTGATCTAATGGGAAAAACCACACTCAGAGGAAAATACAGTTTTTGTATTTCACACCATCTTTTACAGCCATTGTATGTTTATTTTAAAAAGACCACAGTCCTCTCATATCCAGTGTCCTAGGACAGAAAACTAATAAGAAGCAGTATAACAGTTGGGAAGAATGAGGCATTTGGGAATAATCAGGAAGTGTTTGGAAAGACAGTATATTCTCTAGCTTTAAAAGCAATGAGATTCAAATGCCACTCTTGCTTTAAAACCAAATTGATCTGCATGTGCATAAGTCTACAATGAATACAGTTAGCAAGTGTTTTCAACATCAGAGCGCTCATGTTTTTTTATCCAGTGCAGCAGTAGAAAATACCTGCTGTCATGCATCATGAACAGATGCAGAGTGGTCAACATCATAGCAGTTTCCCTAGTTGTGTTTCTGTGCATCAGTAGCACCCGTCAGATAAAAAACACTGTGGATTTTCTTCCAGTACCAAGCACAAAGCAATGATCAACGGTAATGTACTTAAAGGAAAGAGATTCTAACTATTTGCAACACAGAGAGCCAGCAGTTAGTCTGCAACAATAACTATGCTTATTAACAAAGGAAAGCGCAAATATGTAAGGCCAGGATTTTCTCAGTGTTCTTGCAGTGGTAAACCAAGCCCCTCGAAAATCAGATTTTGGGCCTGTAAAACAAAGTGGAAGTTTGCTTCCCAGAATAGTATTTAAAATAGATTTTAAAGGCACTGAATGGTCTTACTATGACTTACAGGTGGTTCATTAAGGAAAAGAAATAAAACATGAGGGGTTATGGAAATCAAGATAGCTGCACAGGTATCTATTGTCGCCTAGCGGAAAACAGTTGAAATTGTGGCTAACAGAGGTACTAAACATACGGAAGAGTGCAAATTACAATGCAGCAATTATGGAAAATCTGTATGTACCAAACCACCAGCTGGAAGTGGGTGGAAATGTCCTGAATAGCTGCCAAAGTTAGTAGCTATTTCACAACATTTGAAAAACAAATGCGTTGTGGCTCGAGCTCCAAATACTTCAGTAGAGCATTCACAATGGTATTATTAGCTCCACAAGCTATCAGTGTATGTATTCTGGCAGAAGGTTTTCAGTTTCTCTTGGCTTCTTTACTATGCAAAAGGAACAATGGGTATGAAATGATGTAATATTTTTCCCATCAATGCGATCAAACTGAAATCAGGGAAAGCATTCAGCATTTGTAAAGAATTAAATATTTAGAATAAAGTAAGAGCATCCTATAGTCAATACTTTCTCCCGTGTCCTAACAGCTGGAGGCCAAAAAACTCAAAAAACCCAAAAAAAACCCCAAAACGCATCTCAGGGAAATCAGCCTTAAAAAATCAACAGTTCAGCTCTTCCCCTTGGCTTTTTGTAAAGCTTAGCCCCCTCTATCTGTGTCAACCAGCGGTAATTTATTGTCTCTGATAAATCATTGCTTGGCTGTGTCTTTTTGAACAAAACACAGCAGTGAGCATAGTCGTCTCTGTTACATCTCAAAGCAGGCGTAAATGTTCAAAAAGGCAACTGAGAAGAGAAATACTTATATCCCCCTGCAGATGCCTGCACATGCAAGCTCCCATCCTATGTCCTGCTCCACCCTACCTTATTCCTTCAATTGGGTCATTTACCTTCTTTGAGACTCCTTAAGGAACAAGATAAGGGCTTATGAGATAATAGGACTCCAAGCCATTTGTTAGCTCTCGAACGTCATTCAAATTGCCAGAACTCCTTGGTCTTTTATAATCTCATCTTCTTTCTTACTTGTTTCGGTTCAGGTTTGTTGTGAGTCACAAGCAAATGGTGACTATGTGGAGGAGAGGACCCGCTGTCATACTAACGGCCGACTTTACCTGTTAGCAAAGCAGTGTGCTGCTGACACAACCCAGCAAGTCTGAATAAGGCTTCCACCACAGAAACTCTCTCCAATATATATAGCTGCTGTCCAGGGATGAGATCCAGGCAGAGATGAAGATCCCCCAACAATTCTAGGTCTAATAAAACTTCTTTTTTTGTGTCTTCTCCCACATGGTCTTCTGGTAACAGTGTCGCTATCTACATTGTCTGGAACTGGTGGCCTCCTTTCCCTGCTTGCTGAGATATAAAGGGATATGGCATCAAACTATAAATCCTTGTGATTTCTAACCACTGGAACTTTTATAGGGGTCTTTAAAAGAAAGGTTCATTAAATTATCATTAAACGTTCACATACAATTGAATCTCACTCAGTTCTTCAGGAGACTTGCAAGACTGAAAGCTACGCCTGCTCCCACACTGGCTATACCTGTACTAGTATAAATTAAATGCACCTGTGAACATTCCCAGACATTGCTTCACTTACCAGTACATACAGAACCTGCCCTGCTGGAGGAGGCACAACAGAACGCATGATACATCACATCTTCATTTTTAGATTCTAGACTAAGGTTTGCCATTGCAATAGTAAGTACTAGGATGCTTGTGTTAATATAATCTATTAGAACCATAAAAGGGAAATAAAAGGACCACTTCGTAAACTGAATTTTCAGATTACAGCTGTGATCTAAAGGTCAGCTTCAACATTAACAACAGTTAAATATGTATATAGGAAAAGAGCAGAATCTTCAGGATCCAGTCCTCTATTTGCTCACAGAGGCCCATTCACTTCTCTGGGCCCACAGGTCCCTGAGTGCTGACAATTTGTACCAAAGCATCAATCATCTCTGACATCTTGCATATTCTAGCAGAAAATTTGGTGATATTGGGATGATTGTGACTGAAGCAGTAGTGTGACACTGGTGTTATTTCAGGACAAAAATCACAGATTCTATCACAACTCCAAAAAATGCAAAAGAAGCCTGTAGTTGTCATTTGATTTACTGCAAACAGTAAAATATTCAACACTTCTGGGAGCAGCAGAACATTTACGATTATACAGTGAAAGCTTGTTCTAGTATCAGTAAATTTTTCTTCATTCATTCATAACATGGATTTTAAGAGAGCCTTTACATACCACAAGATGGAATGTCACAGTAGTCCCAAGACAAACTGTTGTCCTTCATGATGTAACACCATGGCTTCTCATCATCATCTGGATTTCTAATTAATTCAGGGGGAGAGTGAATTACAAGCATTAACCACAGTGTTGTTCCAAGCTTCCCAGAGGTTTTCTGCTTTTTCCTCTTGCAGCATGCAGAGGACTGACAGGACCCACGAGTTTCAAGCCATCTGACAAAGCGCTGAAGCACCAACCAACCCGTAAATGGGTGAGCAGCCTTTCAGTAGAATTCCACATGCTTAAAGATAACCAAGTCTACGGTTCTCTAGGACCTGAAATACAGATACATGACTAAACACCTGTAAAATTTGCCTACAATTATTTGGATGCATGAGCATGTTCACATGGTTTAAATACAGCCCACACTGAAGTGCTTTAACAGAGATCAGCTCAGCTATTTTCAGGACTAAATCCCATGGGAAAGACTCCATTTTTAGATGATATTTTTAAGTGAGGAAATTCCAACACAGGTAGTTTCATAGAAAATCCATAATAAGAATAGCTAGCAAACACGAGTTTGAGAAGCTCAGGTTCACATTCCCTGGAGAGTCTGAGGAAATTAAAGACTACCTCAAGAAAATTTTATATTCTTCAAAAGGGAAAAAAAAAAGGATTATCAGAAACAGTTTAGTCCTTTGTTATCTTGGTGTCAAACAAGTTTTCGTTTGATTTCACCAGGGTTTCTCCATGGTACAGCTTAATTGTCTTTATCAACACCTTATAAGTAACCAGAAATTTGCCCACTTTACTTCTCCAAGAATATAGGGAAACTTTGAAGACACAGAAAGGACTTTTATAGGCCAAAAAAAATAGACAAGCTAATTTAGAGCTCCAGATAAACAGTAATTTCAATTTCAGTTGAATTTATCAGAAGCCCTATCTATTACTGTAAGGTTTTTCAATATTTCTTTCTTTTTAATCTGACTGCTCTTCAGAAAAAGATTAAGGCACTTTCAAATTCTCAGAACTGAAGAAGCAACACAGGTTGAGTCATCTTCTGCCAACAATGTTTCTAAATTAGACTATTGAAGAAAAAGATATCTGCAGGATTATATAGTGTAGCAGAGATATCCCCAGAAATTGTAACAAGCTGACAAAAAAGTGAAGTCTTTTTCTTGGCTCTACAGAACATGAACACATCAGCTCCTACACCATTTTGTTCTCTGCATTTCAAATCTGCAAGTGAATATTGTGCTTAAATGATGTAAATTGAAGGGATCAAGATTTATCAAAGCATAAAATACATGCCTGATAAATTGCCATACTGTGCTGGGACACCGTAAATCTCATATTTAAGTGCTTGGATCAGGACCAAGCCTTGGAAAGCAAGCCAATCTGGGTTAAGGGATAGTGTAGAAACTGTTTATTACTATTTTATATTAGACAGAGAAGAAGAGCTACTTTCAGCATGCATGTATGCTTTTTATCGTCAAGCAAATTAGGAAGTGCAGTACATTCTGATTTTCCTGAAATACTGGTATAACTTCCATGGAAAAAAAAAACCAAAAAAAACCCACCGAACGCAAAACCTAGACATCAACCAGTAATTTATGGAGAATCATCTAAAGTTTCGATTTCTAGTATTTGTTTATCTCCAGGATTCTCTCTAAATAGAAACATTTGGTTTATTAGTGGATATCCATTGACCTCATGAAGACCTCAGAGACAGAGGGAACTCAAAGTGGCTGAGGAGAAAGCACAAACCTGTATACCACAAGCTATTTTTCATTATAGCTGAACAGAAAACTTCAGCAGAAATGTAGTTTGTCAATATGTGGCTCAATCAAAATTGAAACACTGTGAAAACTTATTGGTTACAGTTTTGCTTTGGAAGACATCCAGGAAAGAAATCTGACATCGCATTTCAACGTTATTGAAATACAGTGCTTTGGTTTTTCATTTTCAAATAACTTTCCACTTTTGAAAATATTTTCCTTTATGTTGTGTATTTCACAATTTAAGAATTTGAAATTAAAATTTAATTATTTCAATTTGGCCACTGTATTTCTTCCTCCTTTTGGATAGTCATTTATGAACAGTTTCAAAAGTTTTGCACTATGGTTTCATTTGGAAAAAAAAATCCCAGAAAAAAAAAAAGGACCTGGAATTTCCAACATTATTTTGTGTCTGAGATTCCCATGGCAGACCCAGCAATTGATTTAGCCTACCTATCAGATCTTGTCTTCTGTACACTTACATCCCTCATGTGAGACTGTTGAGTCAGCATAGCTTTTCCAAAACAGGGATAACACCTGCTTTCAGATTCCTGGCCCTTCTGCCTTCCACAGTACATCCATCTCTTGATTTACAAATACAGGACAAATGAGAACTTTTCTCACCTGCAGTAAGAGAACGGCCCCAAGCCAAGCTGTACTGCTTTCTCAACACTGTCGACATGAAGCTCTTGGTAAAGCAAGTCTGAATTCCAAGGCAAGCAGCTGTGTCCAGAAATGGTTGTCTTTGCTGTACCTCTGTACTCTGTGCCATTGCCAACATAACACCGATGGCTAGGAACTGGCAAAGCATAAGAGACTGGTCAGGAATCGATGCTAATTATGTGTTAAAAACTTACTTCACAGCTGAGGTCCCAAATGAGAGCCAGCAGGCCCAGTTCTGTATATGCCTTTCACCTTTCACAGGCATGGAATGCATCAAATGAGGACTTTTTTGAATAAAAAAAAAAAGAACCCAAGCAGTTAAAACACCTATTTAAAATTAGTAGTGAGTTAGCCTCATTTTACACATGCACAAACAACTATTCAACAGGCAGTACAGCAGAAAATTAGACCTAAAATTTGTACTGCGTATGGCGGATTTTAGTTTGCAATCTGCAGCAAAGTCAGCAATATGGCTGGGATTCCTCCTGTCTAATTATAGACACAACTGAGCTCATCACTGGAGACTCCCTTTTTAGTCAATTAAGAGAAACAGGCATTTCTAGTGCCAAACTAATCCAGCCTGTTTGAGGTGATTTTTTTTTAAGATGAGATGAATCTTGCCATACACTGTTGACTACTTTGACTGAATCTCCATTGACAATAAAGGGAGCTTAAGTCAACCAGCTCAGACATATTTCTGTTGTAAAGTAGTGAAAACAATCCTGCCCTGCCAGCAAGTGCTTAAAAGGCCTGATTTTGGAAAACATTTCTCTTTATGTTCTGGTACATATCCATATATATATATATGTATATATATACACGCTATATCCATGTATATTATATACATGTAGCTACATACTGCAAATTTATCATTTTTGCAAAAATTTCACTAGTAGGTCCAGTTTTCTTATTCAAAACCCATTTTTTTGCCATCTGCACATGGGTTATTTCTTCAGATAGGTCTGACACATACATATTCTGTGACCTGTATACTCAGCTGCCAAGATCTATCAACAGCACATACCAGCATTATGGCTGAAAAACATATGGGGACGCATTTGTATACAAATAGCTAGACTGAGCAGAAAGTCTACACCTCAAAACACAGCTCAGAGTATCCCAAAGGAAACACAAAACCATCTAATGTACAAAAAGGATTAATTGTGACCGAGCCTCAGAGGGTTTCTTATCCCAGCCATGTCAGTATGACTTATCCTTGACATCTGCAAGACTGGTGGAATCTTCTTCTAAACTTGTAAACTTACTTAAATATATAACATCATGAAATTGCCTGACTGTTGAAAAATACGCTGTGAGGATGATCTATCACACCACACAGTGTGGATAGCTATTGCCAAAGATCTATTTATTTTGACAGAATAAGGTAACACATGAACTGGGGCATATCACCAGCACTGAAATAGTGAATTGCAGCACTGAACTGATAATGTCAATTATCCTTCCAAGTCATCAGTCTAGCAACAGACCTCAAAACCACAGGCACGCATATGGCACAAATTTGGTAGCTGGAGGTCAAGAAGTTTGGTGCAAGAACTTCAGTGTGAGTTGGCATACAAATACTTAGCAAAACTCGCCTTCTAGCTTGGCCTGGCAGACACTTGAGACGATGAGACATTTTCTCCCACACACACTCTGAATTAAATTCCCTTTATTTCAATAACTCTGAATATAGCATTAAATCAAACTCACGTTTTAACAACCATAATCAAGGAACTCACATCAATTAATTTGTCTATCATTTGTATTGCTAGCACTAGTAACCATTTCTTGGCAACCCTGCCATTTGTTTTCTGGGCAAGTTGCAAGTTATTCTGCTTTGTTTGCCTGAAACAGTGTCATGAAAATACCACCAACATGCTGTATGCTAAATTCTTTCATTCATTTATTGAGGGGAGTGCCAGGTGCTGTTTTTATTTGTACTTCGTATTTATTACATCCAGAAATGATTTAGAGTTGACTACTTTTCTGAGGATGAAACAAGAGATTCTATTTCAGTGCAGAACCAGGGCCATACTCTGCAATCCCAATGGTTTGGACATCTTGCAGATGGTGTTTACAAGTTGTGCTCATTCTTGTCAGGCTTAAAATCCAACGCATCTCTGTTTCTTCAGGTCTGCCAGTCTTTGCTAAAGCCGCTAGAAGCATGTAACTACAAACATTTAGCCCTTTTCTAAACCATCCTTCATGTTCTCCTCCTGTAACTAAGAAGTTTAGACTACATATTGCACTTGTTGAGAGGAACAGTAATATCTCTCATAGGTTTTTTGTTTCTTTTTGGTTTTATAAGGAGCATTTTGGGCACAGGAGTAAAGTGAATTAATCGCGTATCTTGTGGAGAAGCATCTAGGTTAACACAGCTATATCATTAGTAGATTTCCATTGGTCTTTTCTCCAATCCAGCAAGCTTTATTTGACTGACTTGCAGTAACACCACAGTACCTACATCAGTGCTCCTTAAAGGGCACTTCATTATGTATCTAAGGCCATTAAGAAGTATATGCAAAGCCTAATACATTTTGTCACCTATAATTCAGGACAAACAGTTTTCCCAAAAAATCTCTGCAACTATTGCAGTCATACAGATCTTTTTCTTCTAATACTCTTTTTTGAACAGTTACAGCACTGAAATATTTCTTTTTCCCTCTATCTGAAATGCTGTGTAGGTGTTCTGCTTTCAGCAGTTCTTAATGGATCGCTCTGACTCGGAATTGTTTGTTCTCAATTCTCTCTAGTTTCTGCAACTTCTCATAACTCTGAAACATATTTATTTACTTATTTGGAAGAAAGTAATAGAGGGCATAATATATGTATTTTTCTTGTTCATTCACTTCCCTGTAATACTGCCAATCCCTATGTTAAGAGAAGAAATGGCCTAAACTTTCAGATGATGAAAATTCTGATGCAAATGCAGATTCAGGTTACTTTGCAGACCTATAGCTAGTATCACCACTGTTGATTTCTTTTCAGGGAAAAGAAATCATTAACATTTAAAACTAGATATAATTTCCTGTTATGATGTATTTTTAAAACCCAAGAGGTTTAAATAGCTCACAGAAAACATTCTAGTTGTGTTAGGATGGTACATTTTATCAGCATGTCACACTAATTCTTTGCCTTTTAATTTTTCATTAAAAAAGCAGTTTCAGGTCTCAAAATTAAAAGCAACCTGAAATAGCAGTTATCCAACCAGTTCTGATTGCTAACTTCCTGAAAACATTTCACAAGACTTTTTGTCACCAGATCTTGTTTCAGGTTCTGTAGTTACACAGCTGAGCATTTTTATGAGTTTCTTTTGGAAGTCTTTCTGTAGAAAGCAATGTATCTTTCTGGTTTTCTTTTCCCTGAAACATCTCATCAGCAATTTTCCCCATGTTTTTTAGCTTTGACTGTATTTTCCTTCCAGATACGCATAAGCTGTTTCATTCTGCTAATAAAAATAGATTTTTTTCCCCTGATAGTCCTGTTACTGGGACCGGATAGTTTTAAGTAAGCCTTTCATTCAGTAATGCTTTGTTTTATTAAAAACTGTGTTCAATAAATTCCTTTTTTTTGTGTTGCTGTATACAAGCTGACAGCAGGAAGGGAGAGGAAGGAAGAGGAAGACATAAGTCCCCTCTCTGCTTACAATTGCCTGTACAAGAGGTCTTCTCCAGCGTCTTAATTATCAACTATACCGATGGAAGAGTTTTTCAGAAATTCATAAACTAAAGCAAAACTTTTGTGGAATTAGGAGAACATCCTCCATTTGGAGCCTTCCTGCAGCACACTGGTCAGGAAAAGTGCTTCAGCACTCGTAGATAACAACTAGTTTTCAAGACAGGGCATTCATATCTCTCTGAAGCCTTTCTAATATGTCTGTATTTCCACCTGATCCTGTTTCATCTATTAACAATTAAGATGAATAGCAATGAACAATGAAATTTTATGCCTCTGCATAAGCTTATTGCTTGCACTGCCTCAGTACTGCAGAATGTGTTGCTCTTCAATGCAACCATTACAAGGGTGTAAGTCAAGTTTGCTTCCTACATGAGCTGAGACTCATCGGATGCCTGCAGAAGGGTCCAGCTTTTCTTGATTCAACTAGAAGTTCCCTGATCTCCTTCCTGGGTAACTGTGAGATCCCCTCTGAGATGAAAGGTGTGAAAATGTTTGATTTCAGGGAGCTGACTTCTGCTGCAAGTGCAGCTAACCACTAGTCTGAGCTGGCAACAAATGTATGATGGAAAGGATTCTCCAGTATTTGTAGAGATTGCTCTTACAGGCATCTCACTTTGTTGGATAAGGCGCTGAAAACCTCCCAGGTATTCTGAAAGCAGTAAGGTAGACATTCCTGTGCAAAATGAGACAAACTTCACACAGAGAGCTTTGAAGGACATCTACATTACCCTAGCACTGCTCCCAAATTAATATTTGATTTATCTTTCAGTGGCTCCCTATGCTGCTGAAAACCCCTGTACATATCTAGGAAGGTGGCCAGGTGGGCATAGACTGCACTGAAGAAAGCAGTTGCCAGTTTTTCACCCTTCAATGATGAGAATGTGAAATCCAATGAGTAGGGGCAGGAGATTTAATGGCAGCAATCCCAGGACTAGACTGTTCCTGGCTAGAAGCAAATCGCTTCACATTTTCGTTCACTAATACCTGTCTGTGAAAGTGAGAATAACAGCACCCACTGTACCTTTCAGAGTTTGCAAATTAATGAAAATAAACCACAACTGAAGTATAATGGAAGCTACATATTTATATAGCTATATTTTTATAGAATTCAATCATACATTTATACTATCTATCTAGATTTCAATATTTCTGTCTGGGTTTATGATTTAATACAACAGCAGATAATGCATGTCACCAATTTATAACAAATAATTGATTCAAATAGTTGTGCTGCTTTCTGGTTTGTTGAATAGCAATAAAACCTCTGGACTGACAGCACCTAAGACTAAAATAAATCCTCACTGAAACTGTAGCCTGAATATGAAACACAAACATTCTGTCTGAGCCAAAACCTAGGCAGAAATGTGGAATTATTTGGCATCCTTTTGTAATTAATTAAATCTAAAAGAATCTTACTGTGTAAAACAAGGATGGATTTAGGACAGGGAAAACCAAAGT